TGTACAACATGTACGTATAGTGAACGTCCATTAATGGACATTATAATGTTCAATTGACGTACGTTTAGGGAGGTTGGACGTACTTGGTATTGTGATATCTACCAACGGTCTATGAATGGACGTTCTCAAGTATTTATGGAAATCCCAAGGTTTATAAGAAATAAATAAAAATGTACTTAAACAAAGAATTATTTTAGAAGATTATAAGTATATAAAAACATACTTATTCTAGAGATAAGACTATACCTAACGTAAACAAACACTAGGGCTAGCAAATGTTTGTAAGGTTTATTTTCTTTCTATATCTCTGAGTAACCCATTCCCTGTATTCCATATTAATCGTAGTTGCATTTGTAACATCTAGTTCATCTGTCCATAAACTTGAGGACACCCTTTACAAAAAAAGCTTTTTGGTGTGAGCAACTTACACCACATCTATTACCATTTTTAAAAAATAAAAATTCAACTGCCATCAAACTATAGGCACGCATTCCGTACATCATTACTAACCAAAGAGTAAGAAACAATTATTTGAGTATAAGCACTAACCTCTTTCCTTGTTTGGTTAGTTGAATCGTGTCTATTACAATTGAGCAAACGACTAGCTGATATCAGAATTCCTTGATTAACCAGCTATCACTTATTTTGGGCCTCTTTAAGAACAATTATGCATTCGGAGGAATTCAAAAAGTGATAATAATGGGCAAATTAAGATAACTACTAACTAAATGTACAGCAGATCTCTGCAGAATGACGGTACTTAGGAAAGAAATAAAAATTAAGACAAAATGATATCCTACAAAAGTTTTTACAATTTCGTTTAACCTTATACTCGGTTGAGTTGTTATTTTACAGATGGTACAGGTAAGTAAGTCCAACTCTCTAGTGCAGATTCCTATAATGGCGTAGACGATGATATACTTCACTCAATTCTGCTTTCCTCTAAAGGATTGGCATCTCGAAAACGTGCTCTAGTTGATTGTGATAGCATTGTTTTCTACCCAGTAAATTACTAGTAGTTGTAAAGCTAAATGTATCAACATAGTGTAGATTGGCATAGATAAGTATCTGTGTTCATAATTCATAAGCTCTACCTATAAATGTTGATATAGCTCTAGCTTTGTATATTTCTAACACGAAAATGTTCTTATCATAATCACTCTGTTCACATGTGATTTCATTAACTCAATTGCTTACAAATATTCGAAAACTAAACTAACGAAAACTTATATAATTTGAGAATATCGAACTAATGGCAAGTAATATCAATTCTATTCTACAAAGTCAACAATCTTTATATTCAAGTACTAGTTACAGGAGTTATATTTGTCAATATCGAGTTTACTCAGAAGAGATCTCATCATCGAATTTCATTATAACGAGCGTTCAAATAAAAACGTGGTCGAAGTTGGCTCTGACACATTGGACGTAGGGAGTAGCTTATAGCGACCAACTTAACCTCATTTCTCAACGAGCTGTATAGCAGCTGTCAGTTTCAATAACGTTAATGACTATATAACTTTATTTTAAAGAATAATCGTGATAACAATAACAAACGATTAAAGGAGAACAAACGCAAATCTTTTTTTAACACTGTGTGGCAGGTACCGACTGATACTCCCACCATTTGTGATAAAACACGTACAGAAGTTCTTGGCGCATTTTCCATTATTTGTTGGACATTTTCTTTTAATTCTTCAGTCCGCTTTTTAGGTCGGCCGCTTCCTTCTTTTCTTGTTACACTGCCCGTTTCACGAAAAACATTAACACAACGCTGAACTGCACTTTGAAAAATTTTGTACTCAACAGCGCCGGGAAATTGATTTTGAAATTCTATGAAATATTCCTCAATAGAATACTTCCATATTCCATCAATCTTGCGTCCATTTCTAAAGTAGGACTCTATGATAAACACTTTTTGTTCTTGAGAAAACACCATTTTAAACGCTTTTTAAAACGAAAATATTCAAATTGATACCGGCGATATAGCGCTTTGACAGATGACGTTTAAGTTCATTTGCTATACGCCCTACGTCCAAATTTTCAGAACCTACTTGACCACGTTTTTATTTGAACGCTCGTTAGTATCAATAGAGTCCAAGCTTCTTCATTGGAAAAGTTATACTGACCATATTTTGGGCTGTCAAACGCTTTATATTGGTACACTTCCAGAAAAAAGATAAAATATTGTTACTAGTACTTGATATAGTGACACGCTAATGAACAAGCCGAAAGCTTACGATATTGCCGGAAGTTCATTTAAAGTTACTGTTGCATCACAATAATGTCCACTCTTACATACCATCCAAATCTGGTGTGACAAGAGGTTTACAGACCACATAATTAGGCTAAAAGAGAGGCGCTGCAAAGGTGGTTGAAAGCTGCACCAAAAAATTTTTTGTTAAGAGTTTATGGTGGGTAGATCGTATGTCAAAAAATATACTCACTAACAATTTTAAATATTTCCTAGTAATAAATATATTTAATGGCTTTCCCTGGTTTACTTTCTGTATTTCTCAAGCTGCTTCCACAATTACACCGTTGAAACAAACATGTTTTCTTTCCGTAGAAATACTTTTAATTACAGTCCACTTGAGTTTTTGACGTGCTGTATCCTTGTAGAAACAGAAGATTGCTAGTTCTTTTTGTCTTATTACATGTAGCTGTTGTTACAACACAATTTATTTAATTTAAAGAACTTTCTGAGTTTGCAGTTCCTCCATGTCCTTTATATCCCTAAAGAATGAAGTTATACATCTGTCAGCAATCTGTTGCTGATTTTGGACTGCGAGAATGCAATTAATTCTAGACAAATTTATCTTCTAGACACTATCTCTAAAAATGTAACACAATGGCCATTCAACTGATAATGACGGTTTTGATCAGCTTCAGTTCAGACCTACTCAATTTTGATTTTGATTTACAATAAGGTCAATATTTTGGAATGCTATTTCTACTTGTATGAAGGCACGTCAATATTAATATATACTTTTAAAATAATGATGGATTTTCATCAATATTGTGGGTACAGTTTAGTTATCTACGACGTTGGAAGATTTAAATAAGTATACTTTTCCGTCTGGATAACCAATTCAAATCATCTCTTTCCTGTTATTGCATGTGTTAAAAAATAAGAATACCTATAGCCCATTTGTTTAACGGTAGTAATAGTGAGAAGAATCAGAAATAGTAATAGAATTTTGATTCAGTATTAATTTTATTGAATTTATTCGCATCGCAGTAGGTATAACAGTTTTGTAAATAAATTTCAATCTTTGACAAGTCAACATTCACCTTTTTGCTTTTTTACGTATTAGTACTATTGCATCATTGCTTACTTTAGAAAAAAATTAGATCTATCTACTCAGGTAGAAAAAGCCTAGCGGAATAATGCTGAAATTGATTAAGTGTTTCAAATACACGGTGTGAATTTGGTATGCAAAAGGATGCAGGGATTTGGTTAGATTGAAAAATGTTGAACATAAATTAACACCTGTATGGGCGAGAGTATGATATTCTTGTTTGCTGACTTTTTCGTGAAGAAGAAAAGTGTTAGACCAATCACATTGTTTGAACGAATTGTGAAAACTTATTTCATTCGCAAAAAGTTTAATTTGAATCCCAAAACCTACTAATGAACACTGTGTGGGGTTTAAAAAGTAACGTCTTACTATGATATACCTATTCCGTTTTGTCAACGATTAACCTTTACCATACCTAAGACAAGTAGACCTTGCATCTGCCTATTTCCGTGTACAAATATGGATGTACTCATATTGAAATTATAATGACTGATTACTAATTGCTACAGCCAATCACTTTTTTTATAAGTGCAAATATTTTCATTCTCAATACGTGACAGTCAAGTAGACTATTTGGCAAAGTAGCATTCATTATCATCAAAGATGTTTACCTCTCTATAATAACTATATCCAATTTTTTTATAAAATAAAACAATGGGGTTAACTGAGGCCACAAAATTTGAAATCTACACAGAAAATATCTCGATCATAAACTAGAAATGAGACGCACGGAACGTGACCAAAATACAAGGACAAGTCTTTCAACATTTATTATACCTTCTTATCAAATAAAACAACCAACAGGTAGAAAAGACCCATGTCCGTGAAGGGAAGTGTTAATGAAATTATTCTGGGCTCTCGAAGGGCGTCAAATGCCGATCTGATAAGTGCAATCCCAACCATGGGCGAAAAAGCATACTGCTATTAGAGATCGAGATAAAGCAACATTTTCAGACGGAACGGTCTGCTGCCAAGCGGAGAGTCCACAGCCAGCTTTAACCGGCGCTGTTGTCATATCGTCAAGGCACAGTTCAGTGCTACCTACCGGTTTTGGGTGGAAAGGCTGGTTAAACATTTCTTTAAAATGTTCAGTATACAATTTATTTATGAGTAATCAGAATTTATCTTTCCAATATTTATGTTTTTAATTCTCAAATTTTTATTATTGCATTAAATTGATTTTTGTTTTTTTCCAATACCTTAAAAAATTGAACCTTAAAAATGCTCTATATTTTTTTATTAACACTTTGTTATAAAGCCATGTTTCCTGGCCCAGACTCAACTACTGTTGTCTGGGCCAGAAGCATAGAAATATTTTAACAACTATAATTTGCTGTTAAAGTTAAGTCAATTACATACGGAAACTTCTAGTTAATTGACTTATCTGCTCTAGAATGGCATTCTTAAAAGTAAATTAAAATAGATGATATTCTATTCTAGTGGGTAATTCTTATAATGCATTATCTATTATTATTTTTGTTTTTTTGTTTACAAAGACTGTAGTCACTTTATTTTACTGTATAAGCTATTTTCAGTTTCTTTATAAAAGCTAACGGAACGTCTGAACAAATATTTATTCATTTCCTTAGCTTGGGGACAAATTGAGACGTCTGGCAATGTTACAGGCGCTTACATTAGCTCTTACCTCGCACTTCTCCGTTTTCCGAAATCCGAACGCAGTCCTCTGTCAGCTATGTCGTTTGATGGATCAGCATTGACGGGTCTGGTTCCACTACGATGAAAACGTGGGAAAAAAAACGAAACTTGCAACATTTGAAATAACCAGTGATACAAAAAAATAGTGTCTTGGATTTTATAACTGTGATAAGTGATTATTATTTAACATTGCCTGTAACTTTAATTTGTGGATTTTTTTAACAAAAAAATTTCAAGTAAGTTTTTTCTATTCTTATTATCGAAGCTGTGTTAATGCACTGGGTAATTTTTAACGCTGGCTTCGACATGCGGTGCATATTTAGCTGCTTAACGGGACTATTAAACTGTATAAAAGTGACTAGTCAACAATGCCTTTTTAATTAAAATTGCCAATAAACGCGCGCCGTAAACTTTTAGATAGGCCTAAAATAATTACAACACTGATTGATTTAAAACACGAAAGATTAAATCAATACGAATTTTAATTTAGTCTTTTTTATCCGCTGCTTATGTAAGTAAATAATAAATGTGTTTAGACTGCTGAAGGCGACTTTTGTGGTGTTTTTACCTCAGTTGCTAGTTACCACACCATAACAGCTTATAAAAATGTATGTAGACACAAGAGCTTGCTGTGTTAACTATTATTTTCTGATGTTTATCACTAGCCTACTCGAGTAATATTTTACATGGGGCCTAAGTTATATACCAGCACCTGTTGCTTGATGTTTATAACTAGCGTTTCAAAATTCAAATATTGGGTTTAACGGATTTAACGCATGTTCCTTATAAATAGAAACTTGCTTCCTGTAAAGTGAATCAACTTCATTTTTTTTTTTATAAAATTACTTCAAATGTTATTTTGACGTTGACGAATTATACACCCCTGTATTATTTTTTCTTGGAGTTTGGTTAGACATATTCTCATGAACTCTATAATGTAGTCTAGTCATACTAGACTAATTAAATCCAAGTGTTAATGATATCATACTTACAAAATACCATATGATACATTTAAGTGACCGAAATCGTGTTCCCATGTTTCGTGACTGAAAAAATAAACATCTGGTATTCATTCTATGCATGGGATATTTAAATTCTCATGTAGATACATTATTCTGGTAAAATTTGTTGTTAAATAACTTTAATTTGAACTTCCCTTTCTCATGATTGCCAAAAGAAAGTTGCACGTGTCCATTTGGCAAAAATGGTCATAAACCCCGATTTGTTTATGGCTTAAAGATATCGGTAGGCAAGTTTTAACAATATCCATAAATTGTAATATATTCGACAGGTTCGCGGTTACGGTTGATTAAAAACATCTACAAGATTAATTTAAAATCAATAAAGTGAGTTAGTGTCTTATAGTCAATAAATTTTGTCAGCATTAGAAGAACTTTTCGAATATTAAATGAAGTTCATTTGTATAAAAGTCATTAAAACGTTTTGGGCAATTTCATAAATTAGTGTTAGTGTCTCCATAATTTCTAAAAATTATATTTATTAATTCTCTTATGAACAAATAGTGTTATTTCGCAATGCAGTACTAGATGCTAACAAAAATGTAAATAGCAGTTATGTAAGGTATGCGTGAATCATGAACAACAGTCATAAACATTATCAGTATATCAAGTTCAAAAAGCCAGTGCATTTTGCAAGCGCCAGCAAAATTTCAGTTTTATTGAAGTAAGCTCTAAAATGAATACACAATATTTATAATTTCTTTTATAATAGGTAGGTACTATTAAAACTCAAAAAGTTGCATTACCATGAGAACTTACTCCACATATTCGGCACTTGATTGTTTGTACATTTGGGCCTGTTTTCAAGAGGACAAAAAAGATTTATTACAGTATTAGCACTACATAGCTACAATGTTACGCTAAACCCTGATTATAGAAGATTTAAGTATCTAAGTAAAACTCTTTAAATCCTTCTGTAGTCGTTATAATGTAGTCATTTATTTGAGTCAGTGGAAATACAAACATTTCTATTTGCATGCTACAATTACCCAGTGCATTAATTATACTATAAAAGTAACTTAAATAGTATTATGGGAAGTGAACATGTATTTGAGTAAATATTGTCTTAAACTGTCGATCAAGATTCAAGTAGACCACTACAAAGACGTGTATACCGAATTCGCCAGAAGTTAATAAATTTGTCAGAAGCTTGCCAACATTTCTAGCACACCTGCTTCTTGGACTATTAAAGCTTTTTAGAATCTACCATTAAATAAATGAATACAGCGATAATAAGGATATTGTCGCGAAAAATTATGCGAAGCCAGTTCTGCGATGTCAGCGATTTAATGTTACTATCCAAAAGAATTAGTACCAATCTTTATTGCACTTCTTCCTTGTCCTTCCAATTTATCCCAGAGGTATCTAGGGAAATTTATATTATAATCTCTTTATTTTTAGATAGCAGACTGCCACATCAGTTTTAATTAAATACATAATTCTAGCCTAGAGTAGTTGAACGACTTCTGTAATCTTCTTAAGCGGTTTTCCAACAGCGACTACTAACACCAATCTTACTGCATAAACAACCTTGTGAACAGATTGAGAAGTAGGCGTTGAAAAAATTGATTTATATTATCGTTGTCTCCATAATTTAGGTGCCATAATGATTTACTGTCACTTTAACGATATTTTTGTTATACCGGTATATTTATGCATAAAATATTTTTAGGAGGCGCGTTTCCAAATCGTTTTGTCAATAGGAAGTATTCATTGGTTTTTCTAAGCATGATCTCACGTCTGCCTAGGTGGGTTTGCTAAACAAATATTTATTGTTGGTAAACAGATGTTAATCAGGAATTTAGTAACTGAAACATTTTTCGTGGACGCAAAATAAAGTATTGGTCGTGGCCTCGATCTCTGCTGATTATTGATTCTTTACTGTATGAAATAATGTCATGAACTTCTATCAGTATTGTTGACTGAAAGTGTTGTGACAGTCCTAGAGAATCTAAAACAGTAAATGTAAATAAATTCTCGTTCACACTTACACTGGTTTAACATAATCTATAATTTTTAATATGAGTAAAATATGTGCATTCTTGTTTTGTCTATCGCCCTTACAGCAACACTAGAGAGTTCACAGAATTTTTTCAAACATAATCTCGAGATAAAATTTTATCTACAATTTACTTAGTATAATATGGCTCGTGATAACGTATCTCACATTTATTACACGACTTGGCGTCTTGGAAGTAGACTTGATCATTTGGAAAACACTCCAGGGAAACTTATCAGGTACATGGAAGTTACATGATTTGTTTCTCTGTTCATCAGAAAGGTAAATAGATACGATTTCACGAAATGGAGCGGTAGATCTATCGGGTTTTACTCATCTGGAGGATAAAAGTAATTCAAGGACATTATTCGGTGGTGGTGAAATGGTGAAATATCTATGTATTTCACTTTTACAGTTTTACCGTTTAAGTGTAATAACCTGTTAAATATTTACTAAAAAAACTTATAAAAACGTAGCAACTAGAATCACTATATGTGTCTCATATACAGAGCCTTAGCGTCATCAATATTAATGACTCGTTTACAATGAACAACGACAAACGTTCATAAAACCTCGTGAAAAATTGGAACAATCGCTAGCTGGTAAAACAGAATGGTGTTTTAATATAATCTTGATCTTAGTATTTTAATTATTTTTAATTTTACCGAAATTTAATAGCCAACGTGAGGATAATAAAGTTACTGTTTCAAACAAAATCACTGGTCACGTAGCATGTAAATATTATGAAAACTCTATATATCACTGGCATAAGGAAGAGATGGTGTTGACTAGCCAAGGCATAGACTTTTTTTCTTCGTACTGGCTTGATACAATAATAATCATATATTTGCATATATTTAGTATAATTTTCAATCTTCATAAATTAATGGATATCATGACAATCATTGTGTCCAATCGATAGTTTCTTTACACTGAGATTTATTTGCATAGTCAAATGCTCTATGGTCCATGTAATACAATTTAAATTCAAGGATTTTGCCAACTAGATTCTGCTCCTACTTCTTTTCTAATTCTAAATGATGAAAAAATTTCCAATTTCTTTTTTTTTTTCAACTATATTTTCATTTATTATCAACTTATATGCTAGCTGATTCATACTAAATGCATTGAACCATTAATATGGAGATGCGCCTTATTAAAAAACAAAAAAATAATTGTAATTATTTATCTTGCCCTTATTTCTACCGACTCTACCCTGTATTCTCAAACATACACTTTTTAATTTTGGTTTCTGCAGACAACAGTAATTCATTTTTTCCCGTTTCCAGTCTGCCTGTATGTTGATATTCCCTATAAAATTCCGTAAATAACAATTTCAAGAAATTAGATAGTGTCAATATTTTCGATAAAGTACACACCCGACCAATAAAAATCTTAAGTGTCCATTTTTATCTTCAGGGTTAGATAAATCAGGTGATTTATTATTATTACTCACCTGGAAATACAGAAACAATAGTAGGTATTTATATCTTTTATATCCTACTTGATATACTTAGATATACACTAATTTTAAATTTTGTTTCGTGTGTCGATTGTAGCGTTGTCGATTTCGTTTGTAGACACGGACTTGGTGTTTAATAAGATTTATTGCAGGAAGTTGTCCATCTAAATCAGTGGCGCTTGAAATGGTCCCCCAGGAGAATTAATAGACCTCTCGAATTTGTCGTTCACTTTTTTCCTACACAAATATTAAACACATTAATCAGTGCGTTGTTTTACCAGACATTTCTAAGATCTAAAGGATGGATAAACACGACTACACCGAAACAAACGCCAGTAATATAGAAAGATATATTTGAAATTGCGGCTAGTCGTCCTCTATACATTTTAAATGTTTAATTGTTTTTTTTAGACTTTCTCTATTAAAAAAAAATACTTTCTTGGTATTCCGTCAATTTCAATCAAACTTATCCTTTTTTGGCAAGCAACTAAATGTATTACATAAGTATTGCTTTCATTTTTAACAAAACAGAATATCAAGTTCTGCTTTCGGTCATTTTAACAACCAAAACATTTCACGCTGTACAGCTTTACCTTCACTTTCTTCATTGTTTCTTTTTTGCAATTACCAAACACAATTATAGTTTATTATGTTCACAAAGGTAAACATGCAGAAAAATTGGTCAAACAATTGTGAGACGTAGTCGGCTATGTTGTTGACACACTTATGTACAGAAACTTTATATTTACTACTACGAAGCTTAGGCATTTATGGCTGTCTAGCGGGTTACTTATATTAAAAATTCTTACCCGTATGGTTAGAAAAACAATTTTACGACTGAAATACTTTACTGGTACTTAAAATAAAATGTTATCTGGTATATATTATTTTATGATGGTAGAAGTGACTGGTGTAAGTTACAATACCTGTTGAACGCAACTTGTTCGATAGATAGGGTGCATTTTATGTCTAATGTTTTTCAAAATATATGCTTTTTGTTAATATTAACATGATCGAAGTGTTCATAAATTAGAGGATAATAGAAAACTTTTAAGCTCTATAAAACACCGCCAGACTTCTTCCAAAACCAATAAAAATCCAAATTTTAACATCAAACGGCAGTGTTCCAAAGACTTAAAAATTGCAATTCAAAAAGTACAGTGAAATATCTTAAAATTATAAGACTTTCACTTAAATTGGAATAATAAGTGCATATTATAAGTTTTTGATGAAACTACACCAAGAAAGATGAAATTTTAAGACTTCAGTGTTGAAAACATTAATGATTTTTACTAAATATAACCCCAATTATCTATTATCCTTGTATAATATTTTATTTTCTCCCATCAAAAAGTTGTTTAATTAAGACATCAAACGTCTCGACTCAACGACATCTTTTGAAAATAATTATGCTCTCTATTTTATCTCGATTACAAATAACGTGTCATTGAGTTTAATTATAGAATCCGGCTTTATCAAAAAATGCCCTGCGCTCGTTATAATTGATGCGCTCCCAGAAGTATTAAAGGTAATAAACATTGACGATGAGACATAAAGCCGAACAGTAGGAAATATAATGTAAATACTTCTATTTATATCTGGAAGATCTAGCAGCTCATTAACATGTTTAATTAATAACATTCCACAACAGTTAAATCATTGCAATTGTTTTACATCATAATATCATAAAACTCAAGGCAGTCTCGTATTTCTTTTCTTTTAACGGTATTTTTTACCTAAAGAAGGTTGTTGATATAAATTTGAAAACAAATGTTTCCTTATTTCTCACTTTCACTACATTGCACTCTGTATAGAAAATCCATTTAAATTATTTCCATGTAACTACTAAAAAGAAATTGATTTCTAAACTATTTTCTTTAGTCACTTTTGAGTCTATGGAGAACAAAAATTTAATTCGTACCACAAAAAAAAGCTTAAAAATACAATGAAACGTTGCTCTTTCTATTGTTACCAAATTCAAATATCTTTTCAAATAAAATCTTCCTACTTTTACACCCATCAACCATCCTACTATATCCATTTGGGTATTCTATATGCTTATAAAATCGGCTATAAATAACCATAATAAAGTTTCACAAATTTTATGCTTATTTGGGCAATTTTGTAGTTTAAAATCAAGTTTAATTTCCTGACGTTATTTTTACAAAAAAAAAATAGATAAAAACTGATGTATGATCCAGAAAACTATCCACATTTAAATATGCGTCATTCAGCAAGTTGTACCACTTGTATTAGATATATCTTCCGGAATATATGTTTCCTGGATCCTATTTCTGCCTTGTTTTGCTGACAAACAAAAGGCGACAAACTTTCACTCAAAGTTAACAAGCTTATCTCAAAGAGACACCTTGAAAATGCTTAATCTTAATTCAGGTGTTGTCTTTGACCTTCAAAATTGGTCGAATCAAAAATATATATTCATGTGACTCGAATTATTCATTAGACAAAGTTTCGTTGACATCTCACCATCTTATATTTAAATAAAATTTGTTTTGATGAAAATAATTGTTCAGGTATTTCGACGCAGCGAGATTAAATAAATAATTGTTTTATGTATGTCCTGATAGTATCTGCTCAAGATATCTTAGGTTACATAACGATGATATATCAAACATACAAATCAATTTTAATTGGGCCTACCTCTAGCTTTTTGATCAGTCGCTACTGTATAGATAGACCGGATTGAATTAGAAAAAAAATCGTTCGTCTTTAGATGTAAAATAACTATACTTATTAAAATTTATGCTTCAATAAATTATAATTTTTATTAGTAGTGCAGGAATTCGATATTTTAATTATACATATTTATGTGTTTAACAGTCCAGAATTCCAAACATTTTCTATTGGCATTTTTTAAACATTGATGTTTCTAAATATAAATTGCCAAAAAAAATTAATATCCATTGTAAACAGAATGTCATTATCTATAATTGATCGCTAGACCAGATGATTTATTGGCAAAAAGATAGCATAAATATTATTGTCTCGTTTAATTTTGTCAATTGTGGGACAAACAAAAGTAATAGAGTTTTACGTGGTTTGGTTTTAATTCATTTCTGAAGAATAAACATTTTGCTAATTATTAGGTAAATTAAAGTACCAGCTAAAAATAGTTTAATTTAAATTAACATAAAACATTATAAAGGCGGGACACTGAAAAGTAACGTTTTTATGTTTGCCATCGGAAATGACGTCTAATACTGCACATACGAAAACACACAAGACTTTCTATTTCATATATGAATATTTGATGTATTTTAAGCACCATGGTGTTTGTTGTCATGTCGTGTCTTATGTACCTTATACTTCCTTAGCTTCAGCTAGAAATCTTTGACCTGCCCTTGTTAGTCTCGGCCTGGGCTCTACGGGGGCGGACCCGCTGTCGGAATCCCTAAGCTCGCGCTAATGCTGTTATTGTAACAATTCATATTAGTATTGCAAGATTGTCACATTTTACACATAGTTGTATGTAAATTTCACTTTTTTGTAACAATCTATATTTTTATATACAGGGTGATTCAGAACTTAGCCAAAAAAAAAAAATTTTGATGTACTCTTACACATACAATTTTGTAAAGAAAACATCAAAAAGGGCAGCCCGAAAATTATTTAAACATACACTCCTGTACGGCATTGGAAGTTGATCCACTGCAAAACCTGACCACGCACAATGCGACTAGCATGACAGGAAAGTGTGATAAAAACGGACAAAAACTTGAAAGAATTTCGCAAGGAAAGAAATAAATATAATTTTATAGCAAATTCAACTGCTTTTGCCGCTACTGTTATTAATTAATAAAATTAATTTTTGGTTTTAAATGATAAAATAATTTGACATACCTGATGTTACAACTGTTCAAAATTTTGTCCACCGACCTGTAAACACATTTGGGTTCGTCTTACTCAGTTTCTACAAACTAACATAAATGTTGTCTTGCTTCACCATAATACAAATGCTTCACCATACACAAATGTTGTTTTGCTATACCCGCAAGCCATTTTTGACTATTTAATAAAAAAAACTATTGTAAACACTATCGCGACGACGATTATAAAATCGGATTTCAGTCTTCAGGCCACATGGCTCTCCATGCGTATTGCGAATGACGCTAGAGACTACGGTTATCCAGCTATGTAATGGTTTAAAGTACTATAACTTTTTCTCGGAAACTGTAAGGATTTTACAAAAAAATATTTACAATATTGACTCCATTTCTCATGCCGCAAGTATAAATATTAAGATATCAATGAAAATTTTGGACAGAACGCCACCTGAAAGAGCAGAAATAGGTCAGCTCATCTATTGTGATTCATTACACAATGTTTATCTTTATCAGAGAGGTGATATTAGAAAGAAGAAAAAATATATTATCCGAAGTTACTTATTTGTGGCATAGTTTTAGTTTTCTCTCTGTTTATTTGTGTATTTTGCCATTTGTGAAAAAATTTAAAAATTAATGAAATAAACTCTTGAGTGAAAAGGGGTTGTTTTTATGAAATAAATATTGAAACTCAAAAAAACAAAAGCAAATATAAATATGTATATCACGCACTTCAATAAGTTGCTGAAGTTTTTCATTAGTTTTTTTAATTTCTTTTCACAGGTTACAAATTACCTAAATATATACAGAAAAAAATGGAAAAAAGTTATTTTTTTGAAAGTTTACGTCATTTAATTATTTCAGTGTTACGTATGTATGTTTTTCATTATAAATTTTTGGAAAAATTATTTGTCTTAGGTAATTATTAATTAATACAGATAACATTGTGAGTGTAATTAATTGCATGGGGGCTTTAGTCAGCAGAGTAGTTGTATCCTACAATATTGCCTTTAGTGGCTTTTTAGCATACCTAAATGAGAATTTAAGGATTTTTTTAGACTTGACTTAAATTAGCAATACAGTTATAGTATAAATACAAAGGTAATATTAAAAATGTATAAAATGTATATTTTATATATTTTCATATTCAATTCATTTTGACAAATTTTGTTCGATTATGGACCCATATTCACCCACAAAAGTCTGAAGTCCAACCATTAAACCTTCAAAGTTCGCCACTATATATTGACATCAACAGTAAGACATGTTCACTTCCCACAACTATTTTTCATCTGCGCCCATAAAGGTTACTTTACCACATTGAAAATTTTAGATACTCGAAACCTTCGAATCCGACTTCCTGTGCCGACAACAGCAGCTGGTGACTTTTACACCAGAAACTCGGGCAGGAACAAAGGAAAATGACAATAGGTGTTTAGTGCACTCTGCTCTGTGTCAAGTGTTAGGTAGCTGCGAGTGAAGTGATAGTTCAGTGCCCCGGCGGGTGTGTCTGCTATGAAAGTAGAGGACTAATAACGCCATGACGAGTCAACTGCACAAGAGCAGACCAGGAAGTGGACTCAGCCTCAGCGTTCTGGGTGAGTTTGCCAAACTATTTGCGGGTTCCCAGAAGTGGCAGTAAATTTCGTATTTATCGCTTGGTAATACGACAAATGCACTCGTTCAGTTTTAATGTCCTACTAGTATATTATTTTGCAATAATCATCCTATTTCGAGATGCATTACATAAGAAATAACGCCAGAGCGTTAGGAATAACGCCCTTGGGAATTGTAGAAACACAATGACTAGAAATAAATGATTTCAGTAATATAAATTACAAGTAACATTTATTAATATCAAGATAGATTAAATGTTAAACTAATGTCGGCTATAGGTCAACATATTTTCAACTTTAAACACTGAATGCACCACGGGTGTTATAGGATAATAATGTCCTCGGTCAACGTACACCCCACGGCGACCATTGTTGTCCTCATAAAATTCTTGATACCGTAATTATCATAACGATACTACATTACACGAGTTGTCCAATACTTTTAGACAGTGGTCCACTAAATTCAAACAAATAAAAGCAAAACTTTATAAATAATATAATATATATATAATAATGATTTTTAAAAACGTGTACCTATTCCTTGAAGTTAATTTTCCTTCTTAAAAAAATAGATGATATATAACTCCCATAATTCCTTGTTTTCATATATTTTAATTTTTTTTAATAATATTCTATACTAATAAACCTTTTTCACAAATTTAAATGTTGCTCTAAATTAGCAGTATACAAGGTGGTTCAGATTTTAATGGACAAACTTCGGTAAAGGACTAAACAACAAAAATTAACATCACTTTGCTCTATGAACATAGGCCATTTATGAGATACAAGGCGTTGAAATTAACAAAAATAAAACAATTTTTTTAAATATCTATAAAACCACTTCATCAAATTTTTATTGAGCACAACGTATTTTTCCAATTTTTATTGTCACAATAAGCCCTAAAAAAATAGTTTAAAGTTTAAAAATGATAAAAAAAATGACTGCGTCCCTATAGCAACACTATCCAATCAATATAATTTCCTTTATTATTGTAATTTTGCAAAGAACTACAAATATGTCTTATTTAATTAACAGTGTAAGTGAAACTTGAAAAAAGGTTCATTGAAACTTTAAACGCATACTTCATATAAAATAAAACCTAAAACTTACGTTACCGATAAAATACGGTTCAGTATTGTTTTATAAAAAAGAATACTATAGGGCGACAAATACATATCTTATGGTTTTAATTTGGAACTAAAAATTTTAAATGAAGTTGGTTTTATATAATTGTTTATTCTTTTAATATACTAATATCTATAGCCATATCAAGTTTTAAATCTGTAATTCGATTATAAAAACTTAAAGAAATATTTATGGAGATATTAATTTTTTTAATTCTATTCATATGTACATTTTGAGAATCTCTGTCCATATTGAAGGTCATCAGTTATGCATGCACACCAATGAATCGCAGTTTTACTAAGTCATATAAGTAGATATCAAGAAAATTATTTAAAATAAGATAAATGTTAAATAATATATATTTTTAACTTCATAATAAAATAAACACCGAACGATTGAAAAATTTATATCAGCAAATTAAAACCAACATAAAGTTAAAATTGCACTATTTAACAGGTGAATGAATTACTTGAAAAACAAATTTACCAAATAACTGCTTAATTAGTTACTGAAAAATAAGGTAGGTACTTAAACACTTAATTAATACAACATATTTTTAATTATCAAACAACCTATCAGCACATTAAAAATAAATTTAGGAAATAGTTTGCAATACACAAATAACGAGTATTAAATTTGAAATGAACAGCACGTATTTCGATTTTGTACAAATTGCTTTAAACAGATAAAACACTTCCCAATGGTTCAAAGATTTCATTTTTATCGCAAAAAACTGTTACTACGTACAGCAAATAGTAACTGCACCACTGTTTTATATATTGTACCTATTTGAGATTCATTGGATTCCAGCTAAAATTTTGTAGTATTTTGTAATATGTACCTACGGAAATGGTAATGTTCCAATAATGAGCAGCACTTTTAATAATGAAACCACCTGCCTCCGTATCAATTCACAATATTACCATAAAATAAAATAATGTGGCAAAAAAACTGGACCCGCATTTTTTTTAATTTCGCAAGATATCCTCTTTAACTGGTAATTAACAAAATAATTAACATATAAAAGTGAAACTTATTTGCCGGACAGCTGTTGACATGCTAGACTGTCTTTTTTTAGTTAGCATTAGAGAGACACAAATAAGAAATTTTCTGTAGTAACATGTCTGTAGTCTACTAAGTCACAGTCGATAGCAATGGCTAAGATTCGAATAAATTTTTTAAAAATCAATTCCATATTTCTATAAGGATTTATTAGCGATACTCCTTGTCCCTACTGTTCGTACTTTCATTGTAAAATAGTATTAAGTGACAAAACTACACATTTTTTTGAGACTGACGCCCCGCTATTTTTATTTTTTTAAGTTTCGGGCTCGGTTTCTGATAATATTTATTATAATTTTCACTTGTATGGATATGCAAAATATTTTTTTTACTATAAAATGCCCTTTTCCATATTTCAATATATTTTTAAAGAATTCGAAACATTCTCAATTGCCTATATTCATTCTATAATTCACTCAGATATTACTTTGTGACATAATTATGATAAATTGAAATATTCTTAGAAAATTATGAGCATCACGAAATAATCTCAATGCATTATTGAGACATTATTGTCTAGATTTTGTTGTTTACGTTCTTTTTGATACTGTAAAATAAATGTGTTTGACATATATTAAATAATATTAATACAAAGTACCCTCATTTTACGGTAGTTAAATTTGTAACTTATAACTATATACACGATTTAATTTTATAGTTACTTTTAAAATGAGACATCACTCGTTTCCGTATTACAGCAAACCATTTTGTCATTTGTATTCATCTGGCTTGAATCCATTATATATTGTCCCGTCTGAGATGCCGTCAGATATGACTCACGAACAATGAGGATAATCTATGTGCATATAAGTATATCTATTGAAGATTTACACCAAACTGGTTGTAGCGTCGATCGGATACATTTGTCTGTATCATTTATACGCTTATTTCTTATTGTACTTTTCCGTCTAGTATTAATCACGACTGGTACATCTTTAATATTAGTATAATGAGCCCGTCTTATAATGCCCAGGAATGTTCGATACGTCAAGGGTTTTATCCGTCCCTTTAATTTTTTGTGGTCAACTAAGATATGGTCAGGTAATGACAGTCGACCATTAATGCCATACCATTTGGATGGGTAGAAGGACCAATCTGTTACATAAGATGAAGTGGAAGGAAAGTAAAAAGGGTTCCCATTACACTAAGATCTTATCTGTATAAGCTGTGCCCTAGATTGGAATTATTCAGACTAACATTTTTTTAAATTGATTGATAGTGGTGTTTATACAGATACATACTTACAAAATAAATATTTAAAGCTTTTTTATCAGTAATTGGTTAATTATATTACTAGGCATTAAATCTTTGGATTTTGGCAGTCGCATAGACATAATAAGTGATAAATGATACTTAAAAAAATGTGTATGCAATATTTTATACGAAACAGTATTTGTTGATGTTATAATATTTTCTAGTTCAGTACCACAATAATTAAAAAATATATATATGTACACATGTTTATAGTGTTATCATCAACTTGTTTTAAAGTTTTATTTATAAGCAGCAACAAACAGCACTGCGAAGTCATTATCCTTTGTTGTTTACTATTTTTATTATCACTTGTGCGGATATCTGCGCGGAATGATATTAAAATCCAAAACGACTTGAAAACATTTCATTTCCTCCGACCCCGCATCATATTGCTTACTTTCAAGATGCCCTGCAGATTTTATATCATTATTCCAACGTCTCTATACTGAGGAAATTCATACCTGTTGAAGCCGATCGTACGTATTGATAAATCGTTTCAAAACCGCCCAGCCCCATATCAATAAATAAGCGTTGCGTTTTGTTCCACTTTACCCGTTCGTACTGAATGAATGCATTCGCCAGGTTACATTCGCTGCCGTACAAAGTATATAATTCTCGAGATAAGGTAATATTTCATAGGTATTCACGTTGAAGGGGCTCGCAAATCGTTGGAGATTTAGCTCAACGCGATGCAATAGACGATAGAATCGAAGAGATTTACTTTAAAGACAGTATTAATCCTTCCCTGTAATATCTTAGGAATATTTCTTTTACGTTATAGTCAGTGAAATGATTTAAATTGCAAGATCTGAGACAACTCAAATGGAGCAAGAGTTGCACATCAGTGTAAGGACGAATATCTTCATGAAACCAGGGAATGTCTTTAAAGAAATGCTATTCATATGGTATTCAATAGAAGATACTATTTCAAGTAGATTTATCTAGTTATTAAGGAAGGATGAATAAGATCTTCCCAACTGAAGATTTAACTTTATTGGTGTAGAAGTATAACGCTTATAAACTTCTATTTAACTGTGTCAAAGCTTTAAGAGCCCTATAGGCAGTTTTATCTGTGTTAATCATTCCAGATTTAGCTCGACGAAATGGGATAGACGAGATCTATTTTAAGGGCAATGTCTTCTCCGTTATATCGTAGGTAAAATACAATCAATAAAACAATGTCGCAAAATCTGAAACAATTCTCGAATGGAACAATCATCAGTATAAGGGCATTGCGTATATTAAGGGACATTTTTGTGGCAAAAAGTTACACATTAGTTTCGTTATGCTGTTTAATGGTGCAAGTAAGTCCATCCACTTATCAAAGAAGGATAAACAATATCTTCCCAGCTGAAAAGTTAACTTGAAATTTTTGGTTGATGAGTATCATTGACATTCTATTGAAGGGAATCAAAGCCTTATATACCCCCTACATAGATTTAACTGTACAGCCAAAACTGCCAACACTAAAAACGTTCCATCTGGAACATGGACTCACAAAGACAGTCAAACAGTGCCACAAAACTACAAAGTTGAAACT